ACGGTTTTGGTGTGCATATTTTAATGAACATAATTTGCAGCATGCAGTGGAACAGCAGTCACAAAGTCTTACTGGTTTTCCTGTTAGACTAATTGCAGTAATTCTAATTGGTCTCTAAAATAGATATGAGTTCAGGAATTTTGTTTTCAAATGTTTGATTCTCACTAAATGGACTTAGGATTTCCTACTGTGTTCCCATTACATAGGGTGAACTGGATCCGTTATCAACTATTAAATCGTTGACTTACCTGAGGTATGTAATCTTGAAAAGAAAAGCTACTCTTTCTTTGCTGTTCGAGCTCTGCTGCTGGCCTGGCTCTTTGCTTTGATCTGGAATGCTCTCCTTTTTATGAGCCGTGACAGATTCTTTATGCTTAAAAATTGAATTGATAAACAGCGTTTCCACTACGCTTCAGAAATACCTGGTATTTAATGGGTGAGGCTTTATATTACTGACAGACTGTTGGACCAATGAGGTGTAACATCTCTGTAAATCAATATGCAAGCATTGAAGTAACCTTAACCTTTAAGAAACTGAAAAATAAAGGTTTTAAACTGTTGTTACAAACTACTTGAAAATACATGTAAACAATGACTTTTCAGTAACGTGGCATTCGGTGTGAGGGACAAAAAAAGAAAAGCAATTTGTCCCATGATTTTTTGGTTGATCAGTGTCCAGGTAGGAAATGTGATAGTCTAGTTATTTGGTTTTTTTTTAATATTTTGAGGTTGTTCTTTATGTTCTTCATCAGTAAAATCTACTTAATTGATAAAATACTTTAAAGTGCGAGTTTTTACTATAGTTGTCATAATATTGAAGAACACTGTCACTGGGCTTATTTAATGGTGTTATTTGTTGTCTTATAGCAGAAGGTACATGAATGCATTTTAAGTATATTAATGTATTTCAATATAGGTGTATTTTAAAATATTTTATATTAAGAACCTCTTTATAACCTTTATTTACTTTGTAGCATTTTAAGGAATCCTGTAACAAATAAGAAGCATTACAGATTGTACGTAATCCACAAAGTCCCCCAGGTCAGAGTGCTGGATTTTCAAAAAGTGAAACTCAAAGTAAGTCTGATTTCTTCTGATTGAGCACAAGATGAATACCTTTTTTTCTTGCTACATTCTTGAAAATTCAGCAGTAACAGTGAGCTTTTCGCCGTACTTGTAAATTTTATCAAAGCTATGTATCGTAAGTGGCTCTAAAACATGCTCTTTGTTTTCTTTCATGGCTTCATTCTGTTAAGGATATAGTCTGTTTATGTTTAGTTAAGTTTTACTACCTTTGTTTGTTTAGTCTGATGCTTTTCTGGGCCTCTGGTGTTGGTAGAAAGAGACCTCTAGAGAAGAAATGAGCGATTGCAACAGAGCCCTCTGCTTTCGGTGACGCCGCGGTGGGGGAAGGAGTTCTTACTTTTAAGCAAACTTCTTGAGTCTGAGCGTTTGGGCAATGTTTATGTGCTTGTTCTTACATCTGGTCTCCATGTACCAATGTTCACTGATGAAGATGAGCCAAAGCATCTTTCTTTGCAAAGACAGCAGCTTTGCAAAATGCAATGTTCTTAAATTAACTTTGTGTGTGTGGTATCGCTGTAGGAGCGACAGGAGGCAGAGAAAATGTTCAAGGGCAAACGGGGTGCACAGCTTGCAAAGGATATTGCCAGGAGAACAAAAACGTAAGATAAAAAAACAAATTTACACTGGCATTCTCCTTCAGAAACACCACTTTCTTTGTGTGCGATATTAGGCAGTAAACTGAAATATCAGCTACTGGTGGGATGCTTTAAAAGCTTTGGTAGCCACCAAGTGTCTTGTCCAAGCATCCCGATTTTTGGATGGTGGTGAATACAACTCATATGTTTTTGAAAGACATATTTGGTCAGGATGGATTGATTTAAGTCAACAAGCAGGAAACCTTAATTCTATTTTTTCTTTTTGTTATTTAACTGCAGAGAGGTGGCCATTGTTTATTTTGGGTTTTTTTTCCCCTAGATAATTGGTAACTAAATTTTTTTGTTTTGCCAGGGAATATAAACTGTAAAATCTGCTGTAGTTAGGAGGATAAACGCAGATGAAAATCTTTCGTTAAGCTATTACAAATATATGCTTATTTAGTTCAATTCTTAAGTGGTACGTCGTAACCAGATTTCAGATCACGTATAGCAACAGCATTTCCAAATTCATAGTTAAATAAAAAAATACCTTGAACATACTTAGCATTTAAAACTGTAATAGATGGACTCTAGCTCTAGTTCACGAGTAGAAAAGGGTTCAGGTCCATGATAGTTTTAGAACAAGTAGGTGATTGAACTAAATAGCTCAATAAACAGATACGAAGAAAATCTTTCTATAGCCGCAGAAGAGGTTGCAGCACTCTGATGCTGGGTCAGCGCTTCAGGAAATTCTTTCCAGCCAATTACTCGGTAACATCCATTTTCTCAGACTACAGATTTTTTCTTCTTTCCTTAAAGCAGCAGGAGATAACCTTTTTGTTTTGAGTGTTAAGATTACATCCAGTCTAATGTAGGCTTTAATATAGGCTGTTGTAATACCGTATTAGACATACGAGAACAGGAAACCAAATTTCAGTTACTCTGTATTTATCCACCCTGCTTTTGTAACGGCGACAGACCACCTGAGTGTTCAACAACATCCAAATCGAACAGCTTTTGTCAACTGCTTAATTTATAAAGTTAAGGTCTACCTCTCTTTATGAGGAGATGAAAAGGTGGGGGGTAAATGGGACAGCGAGGACAAGTTGCTGGTGTTTCTGAAGGAGGCAATTCTTCACTGTATCAGCTTGTTAACAAAGATAAGATACTACACTTGATTGAATGAAATGCTTCCAAACCTGGTTTGGAAGCTAGAGAAGCACATACTCTTCAAAGGGTGTAATGGATCTTTATTTTTCCTTTGAAGCTTCAATCCAGGTGCGGGTCTGCCAACTGACAAAAAGAAAGCCGGGCCCTCCCCAGGGGACGTTGAGGCAATTAAGGTAAATATGTCGGGACAGCGCACGTGGGCAGAAGCGGAGGAGAAAAACCGTCGTGGATCCGAACGGAACAAACGTTTCCTTCCTCCTGGCAACCCCGGACTGTTCAGATGAATAGAACAGTGTGTCCTAACTTTGTTTTAGGTGCTTTCTCTGTAATTTTTCTTCTGTTACAACAGACCTGTTTTTTGAGATCTTAAATGAAACTCTGGTCTGACCTTTGAGTTCTCCCAGGGTAGAGCAGCTTGTTTAATAAGGGGGGAAGTAAGATTGTGCTTTGTCATTTGTAGAACTTTCTAGAACTAGAATTTTGTAGAACTTTCTATAGAAGCTTAGCTTCACTTAACTGGAAAAAAAACCTGTTCTTAGGTTTATTCTAATCAGACTGAAATACTGTACGTGAAGATCGATCGTGTTCTTTTGTCTGTTTTTTAGACTGCTATAGCAAACGCCACGACTTTGGCTGAAGTGGAGCGACTGAAAGGCTTACTGCAGGCTGGTCAGATTCCTGGCAGAGAACGAAAATCAGGTCACTCTATACTTCTACTACTTTTGTTTCCCAAACAGCATCTACCTCTCTTCGTTGCTTCCTGATGCTTTATGTGATCTCAGTAGGGAGTTACGTTGGAAGGGCCAAACAGTCGGGGAGCTGAAAAAAACCCCTGTTTAAAACGAGTGTAACTTTATGGTCGGCGTAACTGAGGATGGCATCTGTAATTGGCGTATCCGCCGCCTGGCCCCCGGAGCGCAGCTCAGGGCTGTTACACCTGGGCTCCCTCGAGAGCGAGGTGCCGGATGTCAGCCTAAGTGCTTCGCTGTATTGGCTAACTCCAACG